GAAATGTGCTGAAGCTTGAAGGGTGTGTGTACCTTTTGCAAGACAGTGTGTCTAGTTTTATCCATAAGAGGAATATTCCAACTTCTACTGTGGTTGACAGTATACTGTATTCTGCTGTGGTTCAAGATGGCTCATTTACTTGAGATTTAGCACTTTTTGGATATGTTGCCTTGGCCAAAACGCCACTTCACCACTGCCAAAGGATGAGTAAGAAAGTTTTTTTTTTCTTTTTTCCCCCCCATCTCTTTTTTTATGTTCTCCTCCAAAGCTCGGTTTTGTTGATGGACGAAGGCTGGAGTTGCCAAACTGCTCCCAATGTTTACCTTGGAACACAAATCAGACAGGAAGTAGAAGTACAGCACTTTAAAAAAAAAATATATATATATATATATGTATATATATTTATATATTGCTCCACTGGAACCTGTGAGTGATAAAAGCAACCGAGACTTTCATATTCTTCGTTCAGTCCACACAGAAATCCAGTAAATCAAATCGGCATTTGGACTGTGCGAAGGTAAGTTGACAATTTTAGCTGTAAACCAAGTTAACTTTAGGTGCAAACGACTGCCAGTGATGTTCACATTTACACCAGTTTTCTCCGAAACCCTGAACCCGACTTGGATTTTTGTTTCTACTCTCAGAAAGCAGCCGTTTGTTTCTCAGGAATGTGAACGCTTCAACAACACGCTGGTTCCAGAAGTTTATTTTGTTTGTTTGTTTGGTTTCGTTTTTTATACTCCAAAAGAGTTCAGTGAACAAAAACCCAACATGAAGCAATCCAGATGTGTTTTGGATTAGCAAAGAAACTTAGATGAATGTGTTAAACGTGTGATGAAATGAGATCAACCACTATTTTATGCTGTTTTTATTTATTCATTTTGATTGTACTGTGTGATTTTTACTTTGGGGAAAAAAAAGTGTTTCCTTGTGTTGTTGATTTACTCTGAAAACGGGGTATACGGTACTTCAGCTCCCTCCGGCCCCCGAACCTTGGGTTTGGCTCGGAAAGCATTCCTCGTGTGTGAAAACCTCTTTCGTCCACGTTGTCGAGAATGTGTGCGAAAGCACGGAAAACCTGTTTGTTGCACTGTCGTTCACGCCTCTCTACTTGTAATTGCTGATGTAAAAACGTCACGTAGGCACGCCTGTTGGTTCAAATCTCCACGTAGGGGAAAACATTCAGTCGCATCCTTGATCGGATAGGAAACATTAAGACACTTTATTGCTGAAACGGCTGCCAGACACTTGGAAAATAATTTAATGGTGCAGTTCTTTCCTCTACAGCGACATAAATATACATTTATCTTCTCTTCATTCATTTACGGGAGCCGTTTTCTCCTGCAATCCACCATGCCGTTCCATCATCTGTCCACGTGGTGGCAGTGTTGAGATAAATTTGGATCACTACAAACACCTAATGCATGATATTTTTCCTTCTCCTCAAAAAAAGTGTCTCCACGGCCAACCGTGGAGACGCTATAAATTCGGTTCGGTTTGGAATGCACACCGACCGGACTCGGTGAGGAAACGTTGGCATGGACTCTACCACCTGTGCATCAACGCAGAGGGTGGACATACGTGCTGGTGTTTGTGTGACCTCCTACCGCAACCCCTCCCCTGTGTCGGAGCACTGATGCTTTGTGAATGAATGAATGGTAATTTTACACCTGCCACATATTTTTCTTGTGACAACTCGATTTAGAACCGCGATAACTATATTTTATTATTGGTTTATAGTGTTGTGGAATAAAGAAATGTGCATTACGGTATCGTTTGTGTCGTGCGTCCAATGTTTCTATTTAGACTGAACGGATCGCAATAAGATAGAGGCACGTAATCGATGGATCAGTATCTGATATCAGTGCCTTTCAAGAATTTAAATGGTAGTCGCCTGCTAACGGAGAACAAAGATCACTATTTTGGTTTAATAGTGCTTTAACTATTTCTTTTTGCACAATTTCTCAAGGTCACAGGATCCAATCGGAGCCAGAAGTGGTTCTTTGAGCCTTCCTCAAAATGTCTAATATAGTTATAACATGTAAATACATATGAATGTTGATTTTAGCAGTTTTACATGCAATAATTGTGTTGAATTTCCAATATTTTTGTGTTCTATTTTTCTTGTGAGTAAGTTGAAAAATTAGTGCAATTTTTATTTATTTATTTCACAGTAGTTGCTGGATTGTCACTGATTTGACCCACATTTGTTAATTGGCTCCAGGTTACTCCAAGGCTCAGAAATTGCATTATGTTTTATGTTTTCAGAATACAGGCAGAAAATAAGTAAATATATTTTCTTGTTGCAAACTTAAAAGACTTCAGTAGGCTAGTGTTACAGTAATGCAGGTGATAAAAAGGCAACAGTGGACGTGGATTACAAGCTCGATCCAGATGGAATCTTTTCTCAGTCGGATATTTTTACTATTTGCTTGCCGATGTTTCCGCCTTTCATCATGGAGCAAAAAGCAACTGCAAGAAAAAGAAGAAGAAAAAAATGCTGAAACTCCAACTAAAAGTTACGACTGAATATATTTTTAACTTGCATACCTCCCATGTTTTCTATACCGTTCACCACCGTTTCCAACACCTGCAAAGAGGAAACAAAATAACCCCGCGTGTCAACCGAGAAGGGAGCGCATTCCGACGGAGACGTCGTCTTTCGTACCTTGATTTGAGACGACTTTACTAACTGGCTGAGCTCAAAGAGGGCAGCTTCTGCTTTACTCATGTAGCTGAGCACCATGAATCTCTCCCGGGCGATGTTCCGACGTTGCAGGATTTCTTGCGTCTTGTCGCTCAGAGGGGGAGGATACGGCACATCCTTGTTGTACTGCGAGATCTGCCCGCAGAGGATCACGTGTCCTCCTTCGTTCATCTGCGGGCGAAGAGGCAGAAGGCTCGGTGAAGGCCGCGAGGCACGCCCGGCCCTAAAAGACGCACACCTTACCTGCTCTATGATGGTGTCGCTGACGACGCCTCCCACGTTGTCGAAGTAGACGTCGACGCCAGCGGGACAGGTCTCCTTGAGCCGTGCCGAGACGTCGCTGCTGCGATAGTTGATGGCTGCGGAGAAGCCTAGGTCTTCCACCAAAGCTTTGCACTTCTCGTCCGAACCGCAAATCCCAACCACCTTCGCACATCCATCCAGCCGGCCGATCTGGGAGATGTACATTAGTACAAAGTAAGCCCTAATATCTTACTTAGGGCTGCAACTGACGATTGTTTTAGTAATAAATTATTCTGACGATTAATCTGCTTTGTTTTTTTTTTAATTGACACATTCTGCAGATTTTTCATTTAACGACTTATACATTAGAAATACGTTAAAAGATGCAAATCAATTTCTTAATAAAAAAAAGCATTTCATTGCCTGAAATGCAATAACGGCATTGCTTAAGTCAACACCTGATCATTTGTACCAAAGGATGCATCCGCAGGTAAAAAAGAAAAAAATATTTCAAACATCAACATGTGAACGGACCCGCCCTTTCTGCTTTGTTTGACTTATGTTTTGGATTAACAGACTAATAACTGAATAGCAAAAGGTGTTTCATTGTAATTTTCTTTCTTCTTTAAAGAATTAGTTCAGAGTGAAACAAAAAAAAACTGCTCCTTGTGGCATTTTTGATGGAACAGACATTTAAAGTATACTTTATATTCAAGTTTTGTCTTGATTACAGCTCTTGAGTGTGGTTCTTTCAGCATATCTGTATATTCCAGTTAACGATTAATCGATTACTAAATTAGTTGGCGATTATTACAGAAACTGGTTAATCACGATTAATCGTTTCAGCCCTATTTTTACTTCCTACTCTGCTATGTGAACATCTCAAGTAACCAGATGAGTCGAAGCCTTAGTGGACCCAAAATCTAAAAGTTTGTGTGTGTACCTGTCCAGCTAGGGAGCCACAGGCGCCGGCTGCACCGCTGACCACCATCGTCTGATTGGCCCCTTTGGTCACGTGGCCCTTCTCCCTGACCCCTAACAGCGCGGTGAGTCCCGTCATACCAACTGCTCCCAAAAAATAGGAAAGATGGCCGTCAACCATCTGTGAATCAACCTGTAAAAGGTATGGGATCCTCATGAACTGCGTATTGTACAAATGAATTTTATGGGTCGACTGACGCAATGTAGTGGCTAATTTTGAAGAGGAAAGAAACTGATGATTTTTTTTTTCAAATAAAAATAACATAAGGTTGTATTTTTAGACAGGTTTGACAAGAACAAAAAAAACATTTTTTACCGTTACAGCAACAAACTAAAATGCGATATACCCCCCTGGTTCAACATGGTGGAAGGAGCATCATGATTTGAGTATGCTTTACTGCAGTGGTAACAGAGAAGCTGCATAGTTGATAGAAAGATAAATGGAGCAACATACAGGGTAATGCTGGGGAGAAAAAACCCTGATAGAAAATACAAATATACAACCAGAGCTAAAATGATCTAAAAATTTGTCACGTTTTAGAATGGCCTAGTCAAAGTTCAGATGTAAAATCTGTCCCAAGACTTGAGAATATCTGTTCACAGACACTTTTCCACCCAATCCACAACTTCAGTCTATGCAAGAAGCCAGTAGACATTCCCAGAAGTCTACAAAGATCGACTCGAGCTGACTCATTGCAAATTAGCATCTTTCAGATTCTTTTGCTTGTTTTGTACTTTCCTTTTTGATGTCATTTGCCTCCCTCTTCACAATTACATTTTGCATTGTGTAGGTCCATCACAGATAACCCTTAGAACTATAAAGAGATCCTTAGTTAATCGCTTCTGAAAGGCACTGTAACATACAGCTTTTTGCACACGCAACCCAAGATGGAATCAAATCTTCACAACATAAAAACAACAACTTGGGAATAATATGCCATACCTTCTGAAGGCCACCTCCCACCATAACTGCATGGGTCTGCCACGGCCAGTTGAATGAAGTGACGACGTCTCCCTCGGTGAGAGCCCTGCAGCGGCTGCTTTCAACCACGCCAACACCGCCACCGTCCGCGCATTCAGACAGCTTCCATGGAGCCAGGTAATCAGCACCGGTGTCTTCATTCATTCTGCAGCGCTGAAAGAAACACACACCCCATAAATATGGCTAAAGGTTATTAATAATGCTTATTCATGCCTTGCTTCGTCACCATGTAAGGGTCGACTGAGAGGTAAAGCGTCCGAACAAGGACTTGTCCATCTTCCAGGTCGGATGTTAAATGTATCTGTTCCAGGCGGAAATTTTCAGGACTTGGCTCCCCGTTGTTACCTGCACGTGCAAATAAAGCTCCAGTAAAAATAAAAATAATAATAAAAAAAGTTTGCAACATGCATGCAAAACTCTTAATAAGGTCGCTGGTTCTGAAATAACGTACCTGGTCGAGAGTTAAGAACGACTCGCTGCACTTGCATGTTTGTTGCAGCGTTTGCTCGGGTGACCTGACCTGGCAACCCATGAGAAAAGCCAAAGACAGGTCACGGTGTAAGAAAGGGTGTTTGTAGCTGCACATTTTAAAAGAACATCTAAAAAAAATAAAAAAAATAGCTGCTCGTGCAGAAAATTCTTAAAAATCTTTGTTGTACTTACAGGTATGAGTCGATGCTTGTTCGAAGGCTAGCAAAACTGTGAGGAAACAAGGCGCATTCCGTCACAGTCAGCCGGAGGATGACCCGGGTAGAAATGAATACGGAGCAGAGTGCGGAGGGGGACTTTTCCTTTTAGGTTGGAAGTATTATCATATCCGGATCGTATGTCAGCGTGGCAGCCCTATTGTGATTGGCATGCTTAGTTTGGAACTGGGGGAAAAAACTGGTGCAAGTCCATTTATGGTGTATTACTGGCTACATTAAGACTATAACTGCTTATAGCAGTGTCACTAGCAGTGTTCATGTTCAGATGTTGTAATAGTTCGAATATCCTTAAAAATGTTTTACTACAAGCAGCAACTGAAATAAGACTGTTAGTAACCACATACTAACACTATGTAGTTACTAAAATACTGTTAGTATATACTTACTACTTACATTCCACAAGGCGTGATATACAATTTAGGGTTTTCACATTGCTTTTTTAGTAATAATTGTTGACAAAAGAGAAGAGTTGAATTTTTTTTAAATGTCTTAGCTAAAACTAAAATTATGAAATCGTTTAGTGGTTTAGTATAATTTCTAGAGGCAAATAAGACCAACTTATTAAACTATTTTGGAAGCAGATTTCACATAGTTATTCTGCCTTATTCAGAACTGCAGATATTGATTTTTGTCTTGGTACAATTATTGATACAAAAACTTGTGTTTATAATTATTCCTAATTATTTGACTGTAAACTTTAGTGTTTCTTTAATTATGAAAATTAAGTTTTTAAGCGCGCTTGTATTATATTCTAAGGCGAAGGTGCCACTCATAAAATGGCGCACGCACCGTGCTACGTTTCCATGGAAAGACGGAGCCAATACAGTCTGTATCAGCGAAATCTACCCCAGCAATTTCACTTCACTACGTTATCAACTGATTATAAATGATGACATGTAAAGGTCTTGAAATTATATCCTGGTAAACCTGGTGTTTAACACAATTCTGTAGATTTGTTCCCTCTGTTCATTGTTTAAGACGATACTTTTACCTGAGTATATCCACACAACTCAGTTATAGTCACATGGGGTAAGCTCCGCCTGCTGGGCTTGGTTCGCAAATCTTTGCAAAAGACTCGCCGGTTGACAAATGATGCGCACCAGCTGCTGGGAAAGTGTAGTTGAGAACAAACCAAAGATGATTCCCTGCTCCCAGCTTCCGTTTTCGTGAACCTTCTCATTTGTAGACCTTCCGTCCGAGATTTAATATGGATGATTATTTTTTAAAAGAGTAACGACTAATACCACTAAAAACCTATCTTGAAAAATATATAGATTTATATGGGATGGCAAATTTTAATTCACGTTTATGTTAAAGTGCGACATTATTTGACAGAAGCGGTTTACTATCTTGTTACTAGTACGCCTTGACGCGCCGTTGAGCCGTTAAGGAAACCGTGAAGCAAATAGAAACGGTATGCGCCCTCGTAATGAGGTTATATGGTTGGGTTTCATCAGCTCTGCAGCTTCTGAACAGATAAAGACGTTGATTTAATTACACGTTTTGTTGCTATCGAGATACTTTAAATGGAAAAAAAAGTTCTAAACGCGCATGCCGTCTCGCGTTGAGGGCTAGCAAAAAGCTAAATTGGGTCAGTGTGGGGCTGGGATGTGACGCCTTGTGGAAGAATCTGCAGGAAGGCAACCTCAGAAACGGCGAGATGAAGGCTTGAATGCCATGGAGGACCAGAGGATAAAGTAAGTAAGCCTTACTGAAAGGCAGTCTGGGTGCATGGCAGCAAGTGACAGATGTGGTTTTATATGAATCATATGCTGGTTTTGTTGGGTGTTATCCGACAAACTGATCTGAAATCCCCTCTGACAGACTGTGACACAACTCAAAATGCCCCCCAGATTCCCAGGAGTGGCTTTCAACAGCTGGAGTCTGAATAAATAACTTTTAAGCAAATTAAACGCTTGCACCTACTGAGTACAAGTGCAAGGAATATTACACCCCATTTACAGGTAATTTGACTTCCCATTTTATGATTAAAGGTTTCTAAATGTCAGTCAGGAAAGAAAAGAGAATATGTAGCTGTTTTCGTGGTTTTAATTTTTCAAGGTAACAGAAAGCCACAGAAGTCAAATATGTTTGTTTTTCCTAAGACATTTATCTAAACAAACATAGTAAATGGTAGGGCTGTAGTGATACAGTAATCTTACGATACGATACGGTACATGATATTCTGTCCACGATACGATATATATTGCAATATTCATCAAACAATACAATTCAATACACTTGTGATTTTCTGAAAGATTTTAGAGGGACAGAGTGATTTTGATGACATTTTGTGACTGTTATAGAGTTGGATTGAATTAATTTAACAGAAAACTGATTAAAAGCACCAACCTGGCTCTGGTTGGACATGGACACAGACTTAAAGTCGACAGCTGGACAAAAAGAATCAAAGAAGTGGTGAGAAAACATGTTTCTTTTAATTGAAACAGTACAAACTGTAGCTTACATGGATTTATAAAGTAAATAAAGTGCACCAAGCACCCTGCTCTGAATAGTTTGATACCTTTTTAACCTCGACACTAATCACTCTCCCAGTGAAGCAAGCAGTGAGTGAGCAAGATGACAGTTGGATGTTACGATACTTGCGGATGAATATCGATTTTTTTCTAGGAAGGAAAATATCGATATATATCGCGATATCGATATTATCCTACAGCCCTAGTAAATGGCTATATTTTAAAATGATCAAATTGCTCCACCCTTACATCAGTTTTCAATGCAGCAGTGTCATTAGATGTAGTTGGTTCCTAAATGCATTTACTTTCAGTTGCATCTGCAATTATTATTATTAAATCTTTGCTTGTTTTGCTTTTTTTTGTGTGTGGTTTGTGTTTTTTTATTTTTTTGAGAGTCAGAAATTAGACCGGCACATTGCTATCTTGCACATTTCTGTTTTGTGCTTTGTCATTTCCACTGTTACCATGAATTCTGTGTCAGCAGTGTTTATTTTATCTTTATTAATAGGTGTTATGGCTCCCCACCCAGGGCAACCTTGCGCCATGTGGTGGCACTGACACGCCAAAAAAAAAAAAAGAATAAATTATATGTGTATGTATGACATATCTATGGTACTAATTAAATATAGAAGACATCTGTAACGTCTTCTATATTCTTTGACAAGAGCCTGTGGAGGTGATCTTATATATGTCGTTTGTCCCCTTCCAGATAATCTAGTTCCAATGGACTATTTTTGATTTGTTTGCTTTGTGAGGGTCAGGGTCAGATTGTGTGATTGTTTGAGATTACAGACCACTAGATTACAGAAGAAACTGCATTCTCAGCGATAGACTGCAACACGAAACAGACATTCTCATGACAGCAGTGAAATAAAATTCACTGCCGGCATTCATATCCTAAAACATGCCTAAATCATTTAGTCATTTCCGAGGGTAAGTTTTGCAAAGAATTCATTTGATGAGCATATTCCATGCACAATGCTGCAAGGGTCTGGAAGGTTATAGAAAGTAATGCACAAGTCTAATTATATGCGACTGAAGAAGCTTAAAAAGTCCAGACCTATAGCCTTGCACTTGATGAATATCACCACGCTACCTTTTTCTGTAAATGAGCAACAACCAGTTGTAGAGCGTCTCCGCAGTCAACGGAGATTCCCCTCGTATTTTCGTAGTGTAATAATTTGTAATACTGCAGAAAAATGACTAAGAATTAAGAAGTTGTTCTTCTTATTAAATCTGGTTCTGTTTTTCCTTTTTTTTTTTTTTTACACAAAAAATAGTACTTCCTCTGGAGTTTTTCCCCATTCCTGAACACAAGCTTTCTAATTATAGAGGTGGCTAACGGACCAGTATAGTGACACTTATTACAGATTGCAGGTCTTCTATTTTAAACCCTATGCTATTAAGCAGATGCAAATACAGTGCGTTAAAGCCGACAGAACATGTACAAGCTGCGAGCTCTTAAGAAAACAGTGCTATGGTTATTCTGGTTAATGTGTGTGTGCAGAGCACACAATGAGGGCTGTTTGCAGTGGTTTTCTGTTGGAGAAATGGCTGCCGTTTGTACTGCCCGTGACCTCAGCATCTTTAGATAAGGGATCCTCCTTCACCTCCGCACAAAGCCTGTTGTAACCCTGTGCGCTGCAGTCCTCAAATCTGCTAAAAAGATGTAGAGGCAGCATAATGCCTTGGTGAAAACTTGCAAATGATTCAATCTCTACAATTAACATTTTATTACGTTACGTTACATCAAAGTAATTTTACTTACATGGCAGATAAGTGCCTGAATGACCAAGTTTTTCTTTTATAATAAAGAAAAAACTGGGTTTCTGGAAATATTCCCAGTTTTCCGGTCATATTGTGGAGACTTATCCATCGGTTTTCTGAATAAAATCGTTTTTAAAGCTGCAGACGACTTCAGTCGGGTTAATGAGCCCGACTCATTAACCAACTACAAATGGTGATGACTAATAATCAGCTTCTTATGCTAACTTTTGTTGGTTTTTGTTTTAGTTTTTATTTAAGTCAGTGTGTCATAACCAAAATGGTGGTTGTTGGGGATATCGTAGAGCTGTAATATTTAAAGATTCACAGATTTCCGGTTTTGTTGTTGTTGTTTTTATCTTTGCTGCTAGTTCCTTTGCTGCTAGTGTTTTGTTTTTGTTTGGGTTTTTTTTTTTAAGTTAAAGCAGAAAAAAATGTTTGCTTAGTCTCATTTGCCATAACTTCCTGGTAATTACTACTTTAATTCATTGTATCTGTGTACCACCGACGTTTCCCATGCCTTCAGAATGTTTTCTTTATCTGAAAGGTGATTCATTTTCCTCTTGTGGGATAATTCTGAGGAAAAGTAAAAAGGTGAAATCATGCTGAAAGTATTAGGAGTCGCCTTAATATAAAATAAACAGTACTGTTTTCATCCTCCCACATCCCCCAGGCGGATGTAATAGGGATTACCTGCACCGCGCAGGCATTCCAAGAGTTTTTCAACGAGTAAAATAGAAAGTTAGTGAAGGGAAAGATGAATTCCGGTGCGTCTTCCCCCCTCGCCCTCTCCTTCATCCCCGCGGTCCTCCCTCATGTGTTGGAATTTCCCGCATGGACTGAGAGGGATCTTGCTCCGTAAATTACAGCGCCTTCGCGTGTCAGAGGAAGAGCCTTTTATGGGCAGGGAAGTGGGCGGGGCCACGGAGCAGGCGGAGGGCAGAGAGGAGGTGGCAATCACAAGACAACCAGAGAAGCGCAGTCGATGCACGGCAGCAGCAGGCCGCCTCCTTTTTTTTTTTTTTTTTTTTTTTTTAGCCTTTTTGTGCAATCACAGTGCAATAATGTGCAACAAACAGCGGCTGCATTGCGCTTCTGTTCATGCGCATTAGCACGTTTGTGTTTACGCTCCAGCGTCGAATCCCCCTCCGCCCCCTCCTCACCTCTCTCCCATCCCTCCTCACTTGTTTTCTTCTTCTTAGCTGGGGGCACCGAAGAGAAGGGAAGGGGTGGGGGGAGAAAGTCCAAATGCGTGAGGTCAGCAGCGTAGCATGAGTCAACCTCGGGGATGTGTGCAGTCATCATCGCGGGCCTGCCGCTGCTGCCGCCGCCGCTGCTGGCCGCACGAGAGAGCTATCCAGCGCGGCTGAGCAGCTCCTCGCAGTAAGTACCGGGGGAGATCTTCCGTAGAGGCCGTAAAAGTCGATGACTGTGGCGCTGTTGCTGCTGTTGCTGCTGTTGTTGTTATGGCAGACATAGATGTTGTGGTTGACGCTGCATGTTGCTGTGGCCGCAGCTCGCTGACAAAGTTTTGTTTACCTCGGACTGGGGCGCGCGCGCGCTTCGGATCCCGGGGGCTCGTCACCGCCGTCGGGGTTGATTCCTGTGGCAGCTCCGGTAAATACAACCAAAAGGGGCGAACCGCCGGGATAATGCGCAGGAAGAATCGTGACGCGTTAACCTTTTGACAACTTGAATCGATCAGTGGTTATCTCTCCTTTGCTCTTCTGCTGCCATGCTTGTTTCTTTTTCTCTCTCCTTTTTTTTTCCTCTCTTTTTGTCGAACTGGCGGGCATTGTTGGGTCAGTTTGTTGCAGCGGGACACGGCATTAGTGACTGGATAATCCGTTTTCTGCAACAAAGGGCTTCTCGTAAATAGCGCTGAGCTGGCTGGCTGGCTGGCCGGCCTCAGAAAGTGATGTGGAGGGAATGGAAAGCGGTGGTGGTGGGGGGGGAGAAGAGTCCTGAGCTCCTTCCTTCGCAGGCCGCGCTGGTAGTTTTAAATTAGCAAATGGCGATGGATTAGGGCACTTGACATTTCTTTTAAGCCAATTTGCCGCGTTATGTGCTAAAGCCTCGGCTTGTGTAAGGGCTGCACTTGTGATGCGTCATGGTGATCCTTCACCTCAGATGGAGTGTGCTGCTTGCTTAATAACCCGCGCCGCTACCCTGTAATCAGCAGGTTCTGCAAGAATAAATAGGGCTATTGACGACGAGCACCTTCTCCAAAGGGAGGATGCATCCTGGGGTTTGACAGCATGTCAGTGCCATCACATGGTTGCTGCACACATGCTGTTTGTTGGCCACACAGCGTGGTCTTTGGTTTTCCTCTGTCAGTGCCTCCTCTAGCCCCCCCCCCCTCCCCTTTTCAGCCAGTGCAGGATCTGAACAGCTGCAGATGTCTATTTTAAGGCTTTCTCCAGGGCACCGGAGTAAAGGGTGACTATTGTCAGCCACTTCCTAAATGATATGAAATGCTATATTTTTTTGAGATTTCAGGATTCATTTGTGCCACCGTGCTATCAATTCTGACAAATTATTATAATTCAGAAAGTAGCCTGCATGCTTTCTCTTTCTCTCTCTCCTCTTTAGATTATTGACTTCAGCACTTGAACGGTTTCTACTTTGCGCACAGATGGAACAATTATAATTTGACACACTGCGCCGTGCCAGAATCTGCTCCGAAACCCGGCCATTATGTAATATACTATCGGCCCGGGTTGCCACGGTAATTGTCAAGATGTGCTGTAAGTTACACAGATGCCCGCAAGGACGTCTTGACTTTTTCGTCCTCACCGCCCCTCTCCCCCACTGTCTTTGCACTGTGACTCATGTGTGCTCACTTTCTGCTGCCCTTCCTATTTGAGGCTGCAGCCGTAGTTCAGAGGGCACAGTCTCCCTTTTCATTTTCACCTCTGAGTCACACGTTGTAAAAAAAAGAAAACGCGTCTTTTTTTCTTTCACATTCAGCTTTGCTTTGGCGGGAAAACGAGCGCTTTCTTTTCTGCTGCGTGTCTCGCAAAGCTGTTAGGAGTTTGATAAGGGCATCAGAGCTCCAAGCGTGCCAGTCGATGATGAACTTCGCCTCCGAGTGTTTGCGCGAAACAGCCCGACATAAACGCAGTGCGAGTGCGTTGATAACTGGTAATGACACTTTTGGTAACTATTGATTGAGCTGTATCTGCCATCTGCTTTCCTTTTGTTTCTGCAAGTCAAAACAAATTAATGCAGGACTGTAAAGACGCACGATTTTCACAGTTCTTTCCCAAGTTAATCTGAAAACTGTGGTGTGCATTTGTAGTCGGACTTTCTGGGTCAGTAGAACCACCTACAGCTGCAGGTATGTGTGCAGCTTTTGCACATTTTGCTCCTTCTCTAGCTCTCTCACATTAGAGGGAGAACATGTATGATTTATTTTAATTTTTTTCATGTTTTAACAATAGATTCGGGCCTGATCTTTGACCAGCCAGTGCAACACGTGGACATGTTTTAATCAAAAGTCAAGCTGCACTCCGTCGGAGCTTTGGGTATTTCGGGTCATTGACCTCCTGGAAGGTTAACCTTCACTTAAATATTATTTTTGCCTGGGTTGTTATGTATTTAGCTTTATTGATCTTCCCATGAACTCTGACCAGCAAGGCACCGCCAGAGCATGATGCTGCCACCGTGTCTCACTGTTGGCCTGCCTCTTTCTTTCTGCCACCCTATTACAGATGTCATATTTGAAGAGCGTCATATTATTGCTGTCATGCTGACTTTAACTTTAGCTCACCTGTATGGTGTGCCTCTACCTGATGCACTAATATACTGAAGATTTTTCAGTTTAAATGACACAATTAATAATTTGCAGATGTTTTTAAGTGTTAGTATTGGCTCGTAGGTGAATGAATACAAACGTACACCCTCCTTTTTTTAGATTTCATTAAACCATTGTTTCATCTACTTCACATTTTTGCACCAGGGCTTGACATTTATCACATCCAAAACCCCTGCAAGTGTCCGTCTTTTCAGCATTGTTAGCTTTACTATCTTTTTCTCCTGTTTGTTTAATGAAAGTATCAATGCGTCTTAATTCATCTGAAAATATGATTAAATGCAGTTACTGTGAGGAGTTTAGTGATAAAAATCACATGTCTTTATGTGACTGGTGTCCTAAAGAAGCGCCTTATAAATGGGTAGGTTTTCTTAGATTGCTGTGTCATGCCATCACAGCCATGCAGTTACCTAAAAATGAAGCAATAAATGGCTCTTATCGTCACTTTTATCGTGTGTCACAGTAACGCCACAAAGCATTGTGATAAAACTTTAATACCATGTCACGCACCCATGTAAATTTGCTCAATTGAGCATTAATCCGTCACAACAAATCCCCCTTCCTCCTGCAAAATACATTGAACATGTTGTTTGTTGCATGACAATGTGAGCCAGCATGTAAACCTGCCCCTCCCTTGTGCTATTCTCCCACTTGGTACCTTTTAAAAGGAGATCTGTTGCTGAAAAAGCAAACAGCAGGTTTTTACGTGGCTGATGCTAATGAGACCCCCAACCCCCCGCACCCCCGAGGGTCCCTTTTTTGGTCTGATTGTTTAACCCATGACCTCTGTCTCATTTTCTCTATGCAGGGTGTCGCCCATGAATGAGAAAAACACAGAGACGTCTTCAGATCTTTTCACCCCCGACTGGAGATTGTGAAGAACTTCAGAGGGCTTTTTTTTTCTTTCTTTTTTTTAACACTGAATAATACAGAAGACTGTTTTTTTGTTTGTTTTGTTTTGTTTTGTTTTTTAAGTCAAAAGAACATTCTGCATAAGCCTGGCTTGGAGTGGTTCCCTGCTTCGGCCCATTCATGCTCGTCATGAGCGTACCTGCCCAGCAGAAACCCAGCGCCAAGAGAACGGGCAAACGCATCACGTTCTTTGGCGACCAACCAGGAGACCCGATGAAGGAGACGTCGCAGCATCCCGACGGAGCGTACTTCGGTGCCACCGCCGCCTCGGAGTCCGGACAAAGCGAGGCGGCGAGTACGGTGACCTCCAACCCAGAGGCTCCTCACATGTACTTCAACTCTGTGATCTTCAGCCCGGATAAGGGTGACCAGAACAGGGGCCACTATCAGCAGACGGTGCCGATGAAGTGGGCTCACCCGGAGCCCGGTCAGCAGCAGCAACACAGAGCTGCCTCTTGGACTGCCATGCCTAACTGGGCGCCGGGTTTTCCGAATCTCACAAGGACCCAGAATGCATTCGCAAAGGCGATGCACGAGACTCCCCCCAGCTTGCAGCTGCATCAGCAGCCGACCAACGCTGTGAAGTCTCGAGCTCTGGAGTGGGAGCAGCAGCAGCAGACATCCCAAATCTTTCAGGAGACGTTGAAACCAGGGGCGCTGAACGCCCAGCAGCAGAGCGCCCCTCACCCCGGAGGAAGCTCCGTCTTGCAGTCCTTCCAGCTGGCCTTTGGTCAGCCCAAACAGCACCTGCCCGCTTATTACCAGACCTTCCAAGGGAGCCGGAACACACTACCGAACCCGCCGAACTACTCGAATTCGAAACAGTCTTCGCTGCATCTTCAGCAGCTGCAGAATCAAGAGCAAATGCAACGGCAGCAGCAGCAGCATGTCATCCAGCAGCAAATTCAACAGCATCAGCAGATCATCCGGCATCCGCATGTCAAGTTACAGCAGCAGCAGCAGTTACACCATGAGCAGCAACAACAGCAACAAAAGATGCAACAACAGCGGCAACAGCTCCAGATTCAGCAGCAAATGCAACATCAGCAGTCGCAACAACAAAACCCCCATGTGCTAGACTGTTTCTCTGCGGCACAAAACGCACACCCGCACCCGCAGCCCGTGGTTGTGCATTCGCAGGAGTCCACCGCTCCGGCTCCGCCGAAGATCCAGGAGCCGCTGATCCAGGACATCACGCCGGAACCCCAGCAACAGCCGTCCGATCCCCTGCAGGCCCCCCCGCCGCCCGAGCCGTCGTCGCAATCGCAGGCACAGCTCCGCAGATCGCGCCGGCTGTCCAAGGAAGGCGGGGCGCCGTCTGACAACCCTTTCCTTTGCGGGCCCTCGGACCAGTCGGGCCTGGAGAACGGGGCCCGGGACATCCAGGCGGCGCCCACGGGGGTCATCCAGAGCACCCGCAGGAAGCGCCGGGTGTCCCAGGAGGTCAACCTGGAGATGCTCGCTCAAGAGGCTTCAGAAAGAAAGTCTCCTTCACTATGCAAGGTAAGGAAACTGTTTTATTGTTGACTTAAGGAATATGCTTGTTCTTGTTTGCTTGTTCATGTATTCAATGTAGTTCAGTTTATTTATATTGCGCCAATTCCCAACAATGTCATCTCGAGTCACTTTACCAAAGAAAAAGATCATTTTAATTCAATTACACATACCTTCCAATTGATCCTAGTTATCAGACAGCATGGTAAGCTCAGTTAGTTATTCAAAGTAGTTCAAAAGGTTTCTATGTAAGGATATTCCTCAGCTGTGTTCTGTTCACAGAGACAGGGCCGGATTTACAAGGCTGTAGACCGCTGGGCTGTAGTCTGTGTTGGTGCCCTATCCACCACAGAAAAATTATTCTATCAATTGTTGAGAATAAATAATTCTGTGTTTTCCTTCTATCTCTTTTAGCTAGTTGGAAAGCCAAAGCTAAAGGAAGTGACATGTTAGGAAATGCAAATGAAAGCTAGGGTTACAGGATATGACACACTAGGGCGTAGCTTAGACAGAGGCTAACAAAGGAAGTTACCAAGTGTTGCTTGTTGTCATTTTGTCCTGCTAACTCGCATGACCAGCAATGGACCAGCTGTATTTTGGTTTTATTAATCATGGAGAACGGATAAATCTTCACACAATACAAACCTTTAGCAATGTAGAAATGTTATTAAAGGGTTAATAGAGGCCCAATACCTCTCCCTGAGGCCGGGTTTCAGAAAGAGCAGGTGTTTTTGAAGCAACAGAGACACAACTTCAGGGCATTAAATTACAAAGTTTAGTTTCTTTTTAGTCACATGCAGCATTTTTAAAACAACTGAAGGTAACATAGTTACTTCATAGTGCAATTGAACAGCATGATGTGTTTGAAAAACACAATAATATTGTATTAATAACAATATCATTATATATCGTTATTTATACAACTCTTCTGATTCTGGTTTGTGAGCTTTATATAAAGTATCAAAACATGTATTTGTTGAAAAAAGAAAAAAAAAAACAGAAACATTTTTGGGCACCCCCCAAAAAGATGGAGACCTGGGCTTCTGCCAGTTTTAAAACCTTGCCCAGCACAGAGCTTATTTTCTTTTACAGAAGAATATCAAATACGCTGAACTGTCCCCACCTCTGCGACTGCACCGCAGTTTGGAGCTCAAACCCTTTACAGCTAAAAAATCTGTTCTTCCAGCACCGTCCACGGATATAATTGCGTTGGGACTTAAATTCCCTCAACAGGAGTGTAAAATAGAGCAAGCGGCATGACACGGCCGCCAGCAAAAAGTGTGCCAAAGCTCGTCGTTTGTGATTACCGTGTGGCTGGAAAAGCCTTTGGGTGTAAATCAGCACCCAGCGACATGTGCGCCACAAAGCGAGCTGCTCAGCTCGGCCTTATGGGTAAAAAAAAAAATCTGGGCTGCGGAGTTTATTCATTCGTTATGGGACGCTTTTGGGTGTAACGTTTCAGGCATTTTTTTTTGTTTGTTTTGTTTTAACTATATATGAGGTTGAATAACGAGAAACCCCCAAAACGCATGAGCTCATAAACTCCTCTTTGTTTATGCGCTGAGAATCTCGATTGTGCAACAAGTCGTGTTGCCAAACAGCAGAGTGTGTTTGTAGTGCCCTGAATTCACCTCATAAGTCGCTGATCATGCAGCCTGTGTGTTTGGTTACATGCCTGCACACCTCCCCCCCTTTAAAAAAAAAAAAAAAAAAAAAAAACCCAACCCCTCCGGTTTCTGTCGCCCCCCCCCCCCTCCCC